TCTCTAATGGGGAGGGAAATGGCATCAGGGAATTGCATCTTGTTATCATGTAGTAAAAATAATCAAGAGGATAAACAAAAACAAATTGTTTTCATTGGCGTGGTAAATACAATTACAAGGACAACTGACGTCAGCACTAACAGAAATGTGAAACTTCGCCGTATACAACATTTATGAGCGAAAAATAATTGTCAAAAAATATAAGATATGGATTGCCGAAGAAACTTAAATATCTAACAATATTTTGATTGGTATAATTGACTTGATGGTTGGTTGTTTGTTTCAGAAGAATACGGGACTCTTGCAAAAACTAATTTCGAAAACATAAAATTGATCAGTTTTTGCATTTAAAAGATGAGGTTTCCCCTAAGCCACCCCTAGCAGCACACCCCCGTAGCCGCGAAAGGGGGGTGTTCAAATACCAACTTCAGAATCATGTGTAATAAATACTGTAAGGCTCCTTGCTTCAAGAACCGTTTTAGCTTTGAAACTAATTTTATGGTCATATTTTTCTGACATCCTTTACGTGGGCAAAATCTATATTATCATCGACGCCCTTCATATCCACTAGTATACCCGCCCTGGGCAACTATTATTTGTTTTGTTTTTAAAATACTTCACACGTGCAAACGTGGTACATGCTCGCCTCTGCGGGGTTCGCTCAAAAAGCACGTGATTTGCTTCATTGTTTGAATGTTGTGGTTTGGGCGGTGGCTGGTCATGTGACAAAAACAAGTTTATTTTAGGAAACCTGCCGACTAAAAAACATAATGCCGAGTTGGAGCTTGATGGTGTGGTAATCTCTATGTTGCATCAGGTTATGAAAGGACAGCAAACTGCACAACGTGGAAGCATTTTAAATCCATAGAACTCAGAGATGACTGCAAGCAAAGATCGCGGCGGTCGGCAGATGAGCCCCGATGTTGATAAGTACTTCAATATGCTAAAGGAGCAGTTTTCTTTCGACGGCCTAAGACGATCATCTTCGGCTGGATCGAGCAAAGAGCACAGATCTATTGTATTTCGAAGTCGTTTCGATAGTCTAAGCAACGACATTTCACACAAATATCACAGACATAGCATGGTTGAGGGTGGAAGTTTGTATGTTGCAAAACAACGAAGTCTCGATTCAACTCTAAGTAAAAGTGCAAGAGGCCTCCACATCCAGTCGGATCACATGGCTCACCAAGGAAGGCTATCAACTTCTCTCACAACTGGCGAATTTCGCGACCTTATAAATAATAATGACCTTGGTTCCGAAGATCTGCAGTCCAGGCACATGGAAATGGCTTTAAATCAAGGAAAATTGAACAGTGTCTCAGAGCAAAACAGGAAGAAGCGAAGGAAAGTATTTGAGAAGGAGCGAAAATACTCAAAATAATACATACGGTCTGATGCTGGCCTTATGTTTGAATGGGATCTGTTTGACAGTTCTGTCCTCTCAGAGCTATTATTAGAGATTTTCCAGGATATCTCTAGTTAATTGTTGGAAAACGTTAATTTGTGGTTTGTTTTCGTCGAGGATCAGTGTTTATTGTTTGCTTTATAAATGCAGTCATTGGTCAGTGGTTACTTCGTCATGATCAAGTTACGCTGGGTACGTTTTGATTTACGAACTTTCAGTATTTTAATTGCAAAAAACGTGTAAAATACTGTATTTTCTAACCATTGCAAGACAATTAAATCTGTAAACCACCCAATAATAGTCTAATATAAGCACTTATGCAACTCATTTTTAGCTGGAGACCCCAAATCATTGCCCTTTATGTAAGTCGGTGATATTTGAATTCTCAAAATTGAAAAATTATTCTCAGGTCTTCTTACCATTTTCCCCACTGCTGACAAAATATTAATTTATCTATATATCTGCCAGTTTTATCACTATCCCGAGCTTCATAATGGGCCTCTCCACCATTACGAAAAACTATTGTTTGCAAATCGGAGGACGTATGTCGCGACGATATCGTGCAGACAGGATCACATATTGAGGAACACGAATTCGTGACAATCACCTCATTGTGTACAGAGCCTTTCTCAACAAATTTACTCGGAGAGGGGGGGGGGGCCAGTTGCCCCTTCAACCCCCAGTGACTTTACATTGTTTCAAACAATTAGCTATTGTCTTTTTTATATGAACAAAGTTCGAAAAATTGTGTACGATCTACAAAAATAGGATGCTGGTAAATTTTGTTTGAAGTGTCTAAATTTGGTGATCTGTTTGCCTGATTTGCATCAAATTTTGATGACAGGTTACAGCCCCTAAGCACCCCATATGCATAACACAATGAAGCAAAGTAAACATAAATATGCCAACCTGAGAAATTTTTTATACTGATAAATGTACATCACAATCTGCAAAAACTGCAGTTGTAATGAGATCAGTATCAAACCAAATAAGTAATATAGAGTCATACTTCATGTTCCTTCAAGTCTTGATAAATGTGAGAAAATTTATTTGATTCTTAAGACAGAATTCAATGTGAAGCTGAAGTCTTCAATAGATAACCACAAATAAGGAAAATACAAAAGAAAAGCAAATTCAAAAATGAAAAGGGAATATTTTTCAAAATAATGTAAAATTTCAAACATTAAACCACACTTAATAGAAGTTTGTAAGCCGTCTCTAATTGCCTTGAACTGGTGTTGCACACAGATTCAGGTTGTTGCATTCAGCTTATTCTTCAATGTAAATAGAATAGTTTTTCAATTCATTTCCAATCAATAACTACATGTGAGCCATTTGAAGTAGCAAAGGCCAAGCTTGCCTGAAACTCGCCTAGCAAGCTGTTTTGTGGTGATTAAATTTTGTGTTATATGGTTGTCCTGTTTCCTTTATATTTGAAGTTCTTTCCTAGATTTATAGTCTAAAAAACAATTCTTGAAAAAATGATGCACAGCAAACAATATTCAAAGGATAATGTTTTACTTTTCTCATTATCCAATCAAGAATTGGTAACTGGCTAATTAGGTGTATGTACAAAGTGTCATGTATTGTGAATATTCAGATTTCCGTTATACTGTAGATCTTGTAAATTGTAAAGTTAACTCATTGTTGCTAACTAAGCTTTCTCTTTTGTCAGGACAAATTTGTAGAAAGGCGTTGAAGATACCGTGTAAAGAAATTTGATTTTTAAACGCTAGGATAAACTGAGAGATTGAGCTGTGTTCTTGAGTTGATGGAGACTGCATCATATTGAATTCCCTGTCCACGTTGTCTCAATGTCTCAGTTAATCCAAGCAGTTAATATTTGTAGTCATGTGTATTATAGAAAACGAATGTATATTTTATCGGGCGAGCGTCATGCATTATTGCCACGCAAACACGTTCCCATTTGTTGCATTAGAATTTAGTTCTGTTACTCATAATTAGTTGTTTTAACACTTAACGTTCCAGTTTCATAAGCGTGATTTATCGTGCATGGCAAGTTTCAAGTCAAAACCATAATCAATTCCCCATTTATTTCAACTTCTCGATTAAATTCCTGTTTAAAACATACATTGATTTGATTTCGAGGCCAAGGAACTCTCGAGACTACAGTTCATGTCCTTTTTTAAAATTATTTTTTTTCTAAATCTTTATATATTTCGAACTCCGTTTATGTCTGAGCCATTCTCAGTCTTCCCATATTTCCCGCCCGTTGTTGGTCTCAGACACTCATGGAGATACATAATAACGAACTAGACAATATCATTCAAAAATGCCACGATAAATCATCACTTATGAACATGATACAGTTTGGTTTTTGCTGTGTTTTTTGTTTTGCTGGTGTATTATTGTTACGTTGAAAATACCGTACAAAAACGCATATATGAAGTGATATCACATGAAAACGCCACGTCAAGGTCTTTTTTGTTGTTATCTGCCCTTGTTATTCGCGTTATTACTTTCCGTGAAAATTTTAAACAATGTCAATACAAATTTTTTTCCTGCCTAAGCTTTGAAAACCTGGCTTTGTAAAACCCAGCTTTGAAAAGCTTAGAAAAGCTAAAGTTGGGTGTGTGTGGTAAGCGAACCTCTTTTAGCTTCCATTGAAAATCGTCCCATCGTTGGTGTGACAGCCAATTTTTCTGACTGTTGAGTTTTTATGAAACCATCAAACTTCATGGCTACGCTATGCTATAACGTTGAGAGATTTGGTCCATTTAGTGATGGTCACTTCTTATGAATAATCTAAATCTTGGCAAAAGGATTCTATTATAATCTTCCTCTCTATTCTAAAGGTTATAAAGTTGTGTTTAGGAAGTGCATTATAATAGGCAGAGTCAGACCCCAATCACTCATTGGAAATAACACACCCCTAAAAATGTTTCTGATTTGAGCCTCTCTGTTTCATGTTAGTTTTTTTAAAGCAATAGATTTGTAAATGAGATTGTAGGGTTTCTTTCTATCATTGAAAATTGGCAAGGATAGAATTTTTATGACGTAAGAAAATATATGAATGAAATCAAGAGATGGTTAAGAAATGATTTCGAATAGCAGAGCAGGTTTTAAACTACAAAAGATCGAGGTCAGGGACCGCGCACCAATTTAAATGTGGAGGGGCTGAAATGGATGTGCCCGAAAATTTTTTGAGGCCACGCCCTCTAGAACGCCGGAAAATGCCCCTTCTGGAAAAAATTGCTTATTTCTACTCAGATTTTATAAACAGTCTGGTTCAGAGAAGATATCAATAACTATAAAGATAGATAAGATTAGCTTGAGGGTAACAAAACACCAAACTAACCCAGTTAGAAAATACATGATATCATTTAACAAGATAAAACACCTAGAAAATGAACAAAAAGGTCAAGAAGAATTGCTACTTCATAGGAGTAAACTATCCAAAGGGTTATAGCCCCTGCTAGCCCAATGGCTGCGCGGTGCCTGATCGAAGTGCACTGAAAAAAACCTAACGACGAGGTGCACTGGGGGAAAAATGATGTCTGTAACTGTAAAAGTGGGCGGGTCATTGTGGTCGATGGAGAGTCGCAGCCCTCCCACATTCAGCCACTGTCCAGGAGCATATACCAAGAAACAGAAACACTGGACTTCGAGCTTTTGGTACTTCTTCGGGCTCGAAATAAAATGGGTAGAGAGTTCGATCTGATTGTGTTCGGGGCAAGTGGCTTCACTGGCAGATATGTTGCCCTTGAAGTGGCAAAATGCAGCAAAGCAGAGGGCAAGAGCTGGGCTGTTGCAGGAAGATCCTTGAGCAAGTTGAAACAGGTTGTTGCAGACATTCAAGACGAGCTAGGTCAGTCAGTACTGCACATGTTTCAAATTTATGTAATGAATAAAGAGCATTGAGGCTTAAAATATTTGTTACAATAAATTTGTAGAAATGCAAGCTGCAAAGGAATAATAATAGCAGGCATGACATAAAGGCCCAGTAGCTTGTAGGAGTAGGATAGGAAGTAAAAATTGCCCAGTACCAATTGTATGTGACCAGTACGAATGAAGTCATGTCGCCCATATGTACTGGTTTGATGTCTTCGAAATCCCCATATATTGGTCTCCAGACTGCATTGATTCTATAGAAATGGGTCAGCTCATAGTATATCAACTATGGTTAGCTTCACTGTTAAGAAACCTTAGGGACCAAGCATTATTAATTGTTGGGGGATGAGGCAGAAGATATTGAGGGTGGGCCATCAATAATTTGGCTACCTTCAAGGGGGGGAGGGGTAAATTAACAGTAAACAAAAAGGGGTCATGAAACTTTAAACGGTTATAACTATAAAAACTGAATAGATACTTCTAGTGAATGTTCATAATTAAAGTTATGACAGTTGTGCTTATTCAGTTATATGTCATTGTCCCTTGATTCAGAGCTTGAATCTGACTGCTGAGCTTCTTTTGGCACCAAAGCAGCAAGGATTATCAGCTGCTTTCCCACTTTCTCTTCTTCATAGATCTTTCCTTTCTTGCCATGTTTGATACACCATCTATTGCAATTGATCTTCTGCAAATTATTTCCCTGCTCAGTCAATAGTCCCTTTCCTAGCAAAAACTTGAGGCCAGCTCTGAGCATTTTGCTGAATATTAAATGAAAAATTTCCCTGCTCAAATTTCATCTTGACTTATTTACTTTTTTCCCATGGAAGCATGGCACCAATTAATGACAAGCAGCTTCTCAGGTCACATTCAATTTTACTTTTCTTGCCTTATTAATCTTATTCTAGAAGGGAATATGAGTCCAAGAGCCCCCTTTGCCTAAATGCCTTTCATATAGAAATATTTTGTTTTTGCTTTGCAATATATGGTTAATCAACTTGTCAAACCCCCTCCTACTGGTTAACATTCCCTGTTTAGCTCAGCTACTCTGAAATTTCTAATAATCAGCCCAATGTGCCCACAAATTTCTACATAGGACATTGTTTTTTCCATCTCCTGAAAGAAGGATCACCCTTTTAAAGCATAAGGCTTTTGTATTTATTGCTGTCTGATATTATCCCATACAACCTATTTGCATTTTGTAATATATTTGTATTTTGCTACCTACCACACAAGGTAGTTTTTAGGACCCTGAAATGCTAGGCTTATTGAGCAATTTCCTGGAATTTCTGCTCGATGTGCTAACACCTCTTGATTCCTATGCCTATAATTACAGAGCACTGGTGACTCTCCTCACTTAAGTAAAAGTTATGTCGTGGGCTAGAACCACACATTCTTGGATCTGTAGTTAGCAACCCTAACCACAGAGCTATCCACACACCTACAAAAGATATTAAATTAATGTAATAATTTATTAATACAATTTTTAAAAGATAAAATAGTGGAGGACTGCTTGGCCCTTTTTATTGGGCTTTTCCAAGAACAAAACCTATTTAGCGGAGTGGCTGATGATGGCCCTATAACATGAATGCCAAATGAAATATTACCCCAAAAGTTATGTTGACTTTCTCACAACCATCTGGTTTCCAGGAGAAAACTTGAATGATGTTGGAATCATTGCTGCCGATGTCAATGACAGTGGAGCTATGTTGGAGTGCTGCAAAAAGGGAGATATAATTCTTGACTGTGTTGGACCTGTAAGTATTTTTATTTGAATTAATTTGGTTGGAATGAAACAAAAGATACAGGTGTAGGAAGTGAAGAAGAGATAATTCATATTGCTGCAGAATCACACAGAAGCAGCAGAAGCTGCCCCTTCTCGACTGTCAGGAACATTTTCAATAATTTCAACATTTCAAGAATATGAATAAGGAAAGGATTATGTTGGCTGTTTTGAGATGATAAAGATCCTTTTTAATGGTTTAAATAGCTCAAAATAGATTTAATGTTTAAGTTGCTATCTTCTTTTTCTTCAAACTGTCTATTAAAAAGAACAGCCTTCAATGGATACAAACTTTAATCATATTATTTTTTGTAGTTCAGGTTCTATGGTGAGCAAGTTGTCAGTGCCTGTGTGAAAGCAAAAACAAATTATGTTGATGTTAGTGGGGAACCTGAGGTAGGTTTGTCATTGCAAATTGTTAATTATAGTGAAGAGATGACTATCATAATAATAAATAATTAATGTTTATTAACAATTCTTTCAAAAGTTATCACTTTCTTACCTTCAGTAATGTTAGCTAGGAGACATCCCAATCTTTTATGATTTACTTGGATCTTTTCGGATGTTCTGTATTTCTAAGATAGTTAAAACTTTTAGAATTTTTGTCTTTTAAAATATTAAGAAAAAGTAATTTTGTAACTAGCACTCGATTGGTACAATAAGCATTGTACTATCTTTTGAAACATAGAAAAATATTCAAGCAATTTGATGTGGTTTATCTTGGAAATATGAGTATCACTGTAAATTCTATGGGCATATGCGAACACTGTTCTCTTGTTAGTTAATTATATCAAGATTTTATTCCATCCTCCCTTGCTTATATAGCTCATTTGTTCACCCCATTATTTTTGCAAGCTTTGCCAAAAATATTAAGGAGCAAACTTCCATTCCTTATTTCTGCAATTGAATGACCAGAGGTTATTTAATTTTGTTTGGTCTATTCAATTCTATGCTGCAGCTGTAGGAATATACTTTATGACAAGGCAATTATTACCATACATTATATTGGTACTGTACTATATAATACAATAGTTTTAATATATCCAGGAAAAGTATGTTTTTTTATGTTTGAACAGTTTACTAAATATTATGGCAACCTCATCAAATAAATGATGTCTTGTATTACTGCTTTGAAATTGGCTTCAATATGAAAAAGAACTTATCTCGATGAAGAACGATGCCTTTGGAGGGGGATAGGGGAGGGGGCCTTTGGACCAATACACCAAGCACTTTATGTAAGGGTAAATTGCATTGATCCATGAGAGAAATTGTTTGCTTTAGGGCTGAGAAGCAATTTTCTGTCTACTTTTTATATAAATCTCCAGAAAGCATGGTTATATTTGAGTGTTTCTATGTCTTTGATTTGCCAGCTAACTAGGTGCCCTTTTTGTGTTTTAGATGCTTGTGATATTATTGCTAGTGATATTAACTTCAGTTTCTAGAAAATATGCAGTTCAAGTATTCAAAGCAGGCTGAAGAAGCTGGGATTCATATTGTGGGAGCATGTGGGTTTGACAGCATTCCAGTTGATTGTGGCATAGAATTTATGAGGCAAAAATTTAATGGTATGCATGTGTGTGCACTCTTTTTACTAGTATTAATAAAAATTGAATAGGACAGAAAAGGGGAAAGTTGGCTTAGTTTGTGGCTAATAGTGCTATTTCAAGTCTGTGAGAGATTTCATATTTACATTCTGAGATCTTAAATTGCTTTCAGAAGACATACAAAATTTTCAAGAAAACTTGAAAACATATATTAGTTAAACAAGGGAAAGATATTCACGTTTTGTGGGAGTATATATTAAAGAAGATGGCTTCAACTGTACCCTACCAAGACCAAACCAGGCATATATGCAAGAGAGTTGTGAAAGCAACCTCCTTCTAAGTATATTAACAAGGTCCTTAACCAACTAGACAAGCACCTTTTTATTCCTAACAAAGTGGATAAAAAGTAAAATACCCTGACAAAACAAACGAAATCAAATTTTGTCGCTACTTAACGTTCTGTCCGGTGATACACCGACCAGCTAATGAGTTCACTGACAAATTAGCGATTGAAATCACGATTTGCACAGAGAATTGATGATAACTCTAATCATTTTGCTAGTTTTGCAGCACAACTTAAAAGCTTTTGTCTGCTGTAACCTCCCCATACCCTCACTTTGAACAAAAGATCTAAATTTCTTTGAATTTTGTATCGCTTAAGTTAAAGATGAAATCTGTCAAGGCCAGCTGAGGGAACAGTATATTCAAACCTTGTTGTGGTTTAACATGAAAATTTCATATCTAACGTCGTATGAACATGTTCAACGAATCTGCAAAAAAACAATTTTTCCTAATCAGCTGGATTTAACTGAATGCGAATGAATCTCGTCCGATCATTCTCAGATAACAAGATAAATCAATTTCAATTCAAAGACCTCAGACTAATCTAACCATTTTTTTCATTTATGTATGATTCATCAATTTTCCAGGCGAGCTAACTGCAGTGGAGTCCTATTTGAAATATCACGGAAGAATAAAGGTATATTAATGTCGAGATAAGAATCTCTTCTCCTGTATTGCATTGTTTGCCTAGGATAACGCCAAATAAACAATTTATCCCTTTAACGATTGGTCCAAACGAATCGTGAACAAGCCATCTGCATATCTGGAGAATGAAACCCGCTTTACACAACACCGTGGGTATCACGTTCCCCCAAAATAGAAATTGTAAAGTATATATTTACTCCCATTAGATTAACTCTTGTACCCCCAACCCCTACCCAATTTTTCGTTACTTTTGGTGAGTCACCCTGCAAAAAGTGTCTCATTTTTAGGGAAATATTGGAACGTTTGAGTCTCTGATAAATGGCGTTGCTACTGGTGATAATCTGAAAAGCATTCGGAAGAGGCTGATGCCAGAAAAAATGAAGTATGTTGGCCAAAGACTGGAGAAAAGGTAAATTTTGCGTAGAGTTTATCCATGTAAATAGTCTATCATGAAGTATATGGTGCAGGCAACTAGGTTTCTTACACTAAAAGCGCCTTGTCTTGAACTTTTCTTGTGACACTTGCCTTTCCTGCAATGTGAATCCAAATTCAGCTTCTTTGCGAAGTTTGACAGGCTGCGGATTATTAGCAGTTAACCGTTGCAAGTCTCGAATAGCTTATAACTCGAACCCCATCATCGAACTACAGAGAAAGTTGTGTTAATTCATAAGATTAATCTTTATGTGATATATTGTCATCTATTCCAAATAATTTTATATTTTTCATATTTTCAGAGGATCGTTGTTCTACAGCAAATCAGAAAATCTTTGGACAGTTTTGTTTACGGGTGCTGATCCATCAGTTGTCCGCCGGACACAGTATTCCTGTCAAGAATCGTCCGGAGAAACGCCTGTCCAATATGGCTCGTACATGTGCCTCAGTGGTATACTAGAACTGGTCTGCCTTCTGATTTTTGGTGTTTTCCTTGCAATATTGACCCCATTTCAGTTCGGCAGAAACCTGCTAATGAAGGTAAACGAATTCGCTCTATCGTTGTTTGCTCTTAGCCAGTTTTTAGGTTGCATCTTCTGTCTGATCCTAGTCGGTGTAAACAGAATATACAGCAAAAACGTTTAAGGTTTTTGGTAACTTTTTGAAAAATGTTTTATCAAGACAAGTCAATCAGCTATAATGCTTTTTGATCAGCCAACTTCAAGTTATCTTTGAGTTTGTGTCGTTTTCTGTTTTGTTCTTTTTTTCGCCGAGCTCACCCAATTCCTGTCGTCCAAAAAACTACGTTGATACTATAAACATCTTTAACATATATTAGTGAAGGCAATTTTGAAAAAATTCACGCTAGATAAATGTGGGCAAATTCGTAACTGTATGATACAGAACTGTCAATACGAATTCAAACACCTGACATTTTTAGTAAGGAGTTCTGTTTCAAACTCAATTATAAAATATTTTATTTCACAACCCTTAAAAATTCTTCTTCCTTTTTTCAGCACAATTAAACGAATTATCTTCTTTTTGTTACGTCCTACCCTAGTATATAATTTATAGTTTCCTTGGTTTTAAACTTTTGTTTGAAGCTTCTTTTGCAAATTTCAAATATGAGGTTGATTAGAGTCAGTCTGTGTTTGGGCAACCGAAAATTGTCGATTTATTGCTATTTTTAACAATTTGATTACCATTAGGCGGACTCAGTTATTATATCCAATCAGAACAATACATTGCTGAAAAGGCTGTGGTCGCCGACCCTGTTCCCTTGGAGATGACAAACTCTGTTTTTCATGTTTTTCATGACAAAACTATGTTTTTCAGTACAGGTGGCTTGTTGTTACAATATTTCAAGTTTTGCTAGGTTATGATATTATATTTTCTGTAACAAGGAATGCTACACAGTGAATATACAAACGCAAATGAATCACACGAAATTAACGTAAAATATGCGCTTATGAACTAACAAATCACAGACTTAAGCAAAAAAAATCTGGAAGAGAACCAGTGACGCAGAAAAAACAACTTTTTGCAATTCTGTTTTGGGATTTCTGCCATACCAAAAACCCAGAGTCAAATTTCCACAATACATTGCAGCGTAAAGAATCAAAATATAAGACATCAACCCCTAGGCCTTTTTAATATGCTTTCAAGGTAGAGGTATGTCCTTCCTTTACACAGTAAACAAAGGTATGGAAATGTCTGTTTTAAGAAAAATAATTTTCGTGGACATTTGGCAAGTTGCTTTCCTCGCCGCTTTTTGCCTTTGTCGTGTTGCCACTTGATATCCACACGCTGTTGGGTGGAAAGGAGGCGAGTCTCTCAATCACGAGTTGAGCCTTCAGCACTTCAAGTCAAGCACTATAACCGCGTTGTCACTTATGGGTGTTTACTACGTTTAGTATCAATTTTGATTAAATATTTTTCTTAAGAACAGTTTAGCTATGAAAGTCACTAAAAATTTTGACTGTTATGACTATAGTTGCCTAGGATGTTGCATTTTGTTGATATGATTTCAGCTTTGCTTAGTACCAGCCTTCAAACACATACAGAATTCATTCGGGTTTCTAAATATTGAATTTGAAAAGCTGACGAGAGAATTACTTCTAGAGGTGCCCCTGTCTATCGAAAATTCTTGCTTTAGAGTTTTGAGAATCACAGCTCAGTCACTATCTCTTTTCATTGTTAAAAAGTAAGATCTTCATGTATTGTCCATTTAGCAATTTTTTGGCACCCTTGTTATCAATATCCAACTCTTTTGCTTTTAGCCCGTCGTATGAATAGTCTTATTTCTTTGTTTTTAGTATCCAAAATTATTCACATTCGGTACATTTTCGTATGATGGCTTAACCCGAGAGGAGGTAAGACTGTTAGTGATTTGAACGAGCATGAAGGTCTCTCTTCAGTTTTATTTCCACTAATTCTCAAATTATATTGAAGCTAGTATGTCCGTACAAGAAGTTCTCTTTGAGGGAGATGCAGAGTGGACTGAGCTAACCAAGAAATTAGTAACTTGGTTTAAACCAATCAACGTACAAATAGCTAGGTGTTAGCCAATCAAATCACAGAAGTCTAAATTCATGTCAGCATTTCATCAGTAGTTTAGGGCAACTGTTTGGACACTTTTATTCCTGGCCTGCTGTTTGTAGTATTGCATTGAACCAACTTGTGATACAGAATTAAGAGAAACAAAAATTATTTGCAGTTTAGGACAACGTATCTCTTCAAAAGCACTTAATCAGTTATTGTCATTGTAGCGAAGATTTTTTCTCCCTTGCTTTTCATCTTTGAAATCTAACTGAAGAATCTTATTTCTACAACCTGGCATCCTTTCCTAGGTAAAAGTGTTTTTCTTGCAATCTTCTAGAGGTAGTGGAGTTGCTTGAAAGGAAATTGCTGTGTGAAATTTTGTTTACAAGCTTAATTGCCATGTTAACGAAATTCTACTGAGGGCCTATTTTCTTTTTTTTAGTTGGCCGAAAGGTCCTTCACCTTTGTTTTCTATGGTCGTGGCTATAGCTCTGAAAGTCAAAAGTGAGTAGAGACCATTCTTGAATTTCGAAACATTGGGTTGGGGTGGTTTCTATTGCACAAACAAAATAATGCATCATAGTTCTTTGTATTTGTTTTTACCTAGCCTCAAAAGTAGGTTTTAGGACACTGGAAACCTAGACTGGTTTAGCAGTCTCTTGGTACTTTAGCAGTCTTTAGATGTGATCACACCTCGTGATTCCTAAACCTGAAAATACAGAGAGCTCGCGACTCTTCTTACTCTGGGTGAAAGTTTGGCCATGTCAGGGACTAGAACGTCAGACCCTTGGATTTGTAATCTGCGTCCTTAACCACTAAGCTTCCTTGCATCGCAGTTGTTGTTAATCGTAAACGAGAACAAAATTCTGTTTCGATTTTTTTGCAAATAAGTGTTTTCCGTTGCAATGTCAAGTGCCGAAGATTTAAGCGTAAAAAAGGAATTCCAGATGTATATCACTCATAAGCATTTTATTTAATTTCCAATCTTGCAAAACACTTTATATGATATTATGGAAGCCATCATTTTACGCTGCTCAGTGTCACTGAAACGAAGCTGCACGTGTTGGAATTACATCACTACATAATTTATTTTTACCCATAACGTGATCACCAGACAACATTTCTTCAGACTGGTTTGATGTTTTTGTATCACATGCAAATGCAATGGCACATCGTGTGCAGATGCACGATCTTTAATTCTCTGGTAATGAAACATGGAGGTGGCATCACAAATTTGTATGCCTTCCTAATTTGGTAATATTGTTTAATATATATTTCATACTACTCGCTCGGGGATATATAGGGGTCTGCTGGTAAATGATTCAAATGGTTGACTTTTGCGGTCGTGGCTGCACGGGTCGTATTACAAGCACCTGCTTGTCACTGCCATTTTTCAACAATATGAAGTTATTTTTGTTTGCCCGTTGTAATGATTTTCTTTGGAAAGAGAACGAAACAAATTGCCGCCTACTGAACTGATTTTACTTCTATGATAGCTTCTCGGTGTGTTCATAGACATGGTCACTGGAAGTGTTTTATTAATAAAAGCTTGATACCTTTTTGTGGTTATAAGCTTGAGATGATCGCTTGCTGTCTGTGCTTTCCTGTTTGTAGTTTTCAGCTAGTGCTCCGTCTTTTGTAAGAAATAGAATTCAGATTGTTACACTTGTCATTAAGACTGTTGATCATATTACCGTGACAAAAAATATCGTCTTATGAATAACTCCTCCTATACTCTGTCCTTATCTACCACTTCTGTGCTTGAATTTTTGTGTATGTGGTACCCAGTGTAGCAGCTGGGATGGTAACCCGTATGATTTGATTTTCAGACGCCTTTAGCATCAGAACTGTAAATTTGAATAAAAACTACGAAAAAGCCTTCTATATGGTTATAAGAAAATAATCAGTCTATTCTTTATATTTAATGATTTTTTATTTTATATTTGTTGAGATCCGTCTCCCCTCCCCCCTTTTCGCATCTATAAAATATTCAACCATATCCAATGTAAAGTGAGACTATAATGGTTTGCATTCGTACTCTCTGTTTGATGAAAATGTCTGGATGCGTACCTTTGGTTTTGGAATCAAAATGAAAAATTTGATGAGAATGTTAGTATCTTCAATTTGATGGGAAAAAGTGAAGACCTTACGCCCATATTTCAGGGCATCTTAGCCTCACATTGAGGGGGAGGTTTCTATGTTATCGTAACAAAGTAGGAATAGGTATATGTACGTTTAACTTTATTTCAAAATATTGCAACCCTCCCACCCTAGAAAAGGCACTTAATCATTACACCTAAACATTGTAGATACACTGTCATCCTCCTAAAAACATTTAAGCCAGATCTACCTGATTTATAAGGTATCTCACATCAAACAATATATGTAAACAAATTGCTGTCGGTCCTTCATTACATCAGTTATAAGATAAGTGCATCAAAATTATCATGACCACAAATTTTTAAAACTCAGATTCAAATATTATAAGATATGTTTTCCGTATGTAGATTCTTAAGGTCCTTTCTTCTATGAATTTTCTTTTTTTTTAAAGGTCAATCATATTTCGAATGATTCCTGCTCATAATTTGCACTTTATCGAAATATCCCATGTTTTCAGACGCGTATCTTTTTGTTGGCCACCATTGCTAATTTGCTTTTCCAAGAAACCCAAGTGGTTGTTTTTTATACCCTACTTTATAAAAAGAAATGCATTTGCTAATTAGTAACTTTCATTTCTTGAATAACTTCTTTAATGTATCTAAATCTAATTTCATCTTGATTTTAGAACTGGGAAGCCAGACAAAGCAATTGGATTGAAAATTAATGGTCCAGGTTTGTTTTGAGTGTTTTGTGTTCTTCATTTGCGCTTAAAATACTGAAGCTCGTTCCCCTGTAGTCCCTGAAATTCCTACTATACAAAAAGGTTGAGTACGAGTGAAGCAAGATAGGAGTTTTAAAATCTGATCGACCAGGCAACTAGATCGCTTTAGAATTAGCGTCAGTTTTGTCGAATTTAGATAAATTATTTTTCTAAATAAAGATATGCAACCGATAAAACTGTTTAACGTTTATTTCAAGACAAGGTTATCAAATTCAAGGTTTGCGAGCCATATCTGACCCATGACAACATAAGTGTGAGCCACGAAAAAATTACACATTTTCTTATAAAAAGCCTCCTAAAATGTTGTGCACTTGGCTCCATCTCTTTGACTTTGTTTGATTTCAGCTTCTGTTATAAAATTTTTACATTACTGTTAATTGTCAACGTAAAATCCCAACCTCTTTAGGCATGGTCTGTTTTTGGTTGTAAGATAGATTTGTAAGATAGATTTGCACATTCTGTTTGTTCCGTAACTAGAGCCATGTTTTACGTTTTTGCTTTTTCTGTTTTATATTATCACTCTTGTATAAAAATATTGTAAACTCTCGCTGTTGTCCATCGACATGCCCAATTCTTGCGTTGATGTTCAAAACAGTAATACCTCACTCAGTAATCCTAGATACTATTGATTTTGTTCAATTATTTAGTTTCTCTATGAATAACATATTTTGATATACGAACTGCCTGGAATAAAGGAAATTCTTCTTCTGCGTTCCCTTGTTGTTGAGCTTTCACCCTTGCTGCAACAACAACGTTTTGTGTTTGAACATGGGATCGCAAAGTTTCAATTTTTTAGAAAAAGGTACATGTAAATGAAATGTAGGTGACTCTGTATTCTAGCTTGAACTTTCAACCTTCGACTTTATTATTTATTAAATCTTGCAGAACCTGGCTATGTTGCAACACCAATATTCTTGGTTCAGGCTGCCTTAACCATCTTGGAAGGAAATCTTCCAAACAAGTAAGTTCAGTAATTATTTATAATCTTTACATCCAATGTTCAATAAGAATGAATGCAATTTTCATTGTTTCAGTACTATAGTGTTCACACGATGTGCCAATTTACATATCTTGTGTCTCTAATACTTTCTTGAGACACTGTTATATATTTATACGGAAGCCTTTGTTAAGGATCAGGGGCTTCCAACTCGAGGTGCACGAGTTTTTGTATTTCCAAGCAAACATTTTGGTCTCTAGTGAAGATCAAATTAGCTTGCAGTAAGAAGATGTCGTGTAAAGTTGTTGACAAACAGGTCACTGCTGCTCAACCCAACTCAAAAGTGCATTTTATTAAGCATACTTCAAATAACGTGTAGCTATTGCTATGGGCAAGGATACAACGAACTTTTTCTTAACATTGTCTTTAGCGACTTTGGTTCAAGCAAAGTTGTCTGTAGTTCGAAATAGGCCAGGTTAACCCTATCTTTCCTAATCACAGGGGCGGTGTGTTCACACCCGGAAGAGCCTTCAAGAACACATCACTGATCGATCGGCTCATCAAATCTGGCATTGAAATATCTACCTTTCAAGTGGACACTAAAGATTTTTGAGGAAATGCCGATGCTGGTTTCTGATCTACACTCGCTTATGTAAGCACTTAGCTGTAGAAAAAGAATGCCTCGTTTAAATGCAACGCTTTTCATGCTGCTGTAGTGAACTCCTCGCAAAAATCTTAGATTTGTCCCCAAAACATTATATCATTATAGATTGATGCAGTATCATTCTTCTCCAGCATCATCCATATAGCAAAATATAGTATTGAATATCAGTGATCTAATATTTATAGATGATTCATTGATTCACTACTCTAGTTTTTATAAAAGCTCTACCCACTCAAATATAATGACAAATGACTGGCTAAGTGATAATGTGTTAATGGCGATTTGTTGTGAAATATTTTTGTGACTTGAAGATTTTGACAATGCAATCTGAAACACCATAATTAAAGAGTTTTACATATCTATAAAGAAACATTTTAACCTGTCAAAGCTCCAAGTAAACTTTAGGCATTTCTCTGGCAATATCTCAGCCAGTATTTAGCAAAAGTAACTGAATTGTCACATAAAGGTATTTTTTGGACTAAGTGGACCGGGTTACCAAGCTGAATAGAAGACCATATTCCTGTCAGTCCCACATTCTTTCTTCTGCTTCCTGTGAAACCTTGAGCCATTCGATAATACCCAGACAATTTCTTAGGCAGGAATGGAAAAAATAGCTGGATTGAATTTGTTTATAGCTATCAGTTTATCTTTAAAGTTTAAGGTGTAAAAATAATAGACAATTAATTTAGCATCTAGACATTTGTTTTAATTTGCCAATAAACCAGAACTTGGAGAAATCATTTCCAAACCAGATCTCAAAAAAACATTTCAGAAAACTTTCTGAGCCTGTCGAAAAGTTTTCTAAAATTAAATCGTCCTGAAAGAAAATGCAAATCCTGTGAAACGGTTGATTCCTTCGAATCCATCTTGCTTGGTTTAAGGTGTAAAACCCTGTTTCGAGACTCCTGTATCGAGTCCACCTCCTACCAATCATTATTAATATCTAAAAGTTTCTGGTCATGTTGACTCGACTCTGTCTGATTTTGGTGTGATAGGTTCGCCTTCAAATTTGGCAATTTTGCAAGCCTATAGATCTTGTTTTTTTTTACGAAAAGTCGACGATCATAAAAGGTCACCAAAAATTTGCATAATCAGCAGTCTTTGCTAATCTATATTGATTGATCATTTTGAATCACATCTACTTTATTTTGTTCTGAAAAAGTAACCTTCAAATCTTCACTATATTTGCATAACCATCAACGAAAAATTGACTGTCATAAAAATTCAACTTCGTAAAAACAGCAGCTATCTACCAATCTATATTTATTGAAAACACTTTCTCGTTGTATTGAACCAATTTTATCTGATTTTGATGCAAAATAATTTTCAAAACTTAAACATTTTTGCAATTATATAGGCATATTTTTTTAAGAAAGACGAGTGTCATAGATCGTCACCAAATCTTTGTATGAACACCCGTTTTCTGCCAATTTAGTTTGCTTTTATGTTGTACTGAGTAATTTTTGCCTGATTCTGATGCAAAATTTCAACTTCATGACTTGATCATTTTTGCAGGCCTATAGACATAATTTCTTTTACAAATTTTGACACTGACATTTTATTTTTATCGAACCCTTAATCTTCTTTTGTTTTAAAAAAAATCTCGAAATCTTGACCGTTTTTGCCAGCTTTTAGACTTTACTTTTTTAAAGTATCGACACCCATAAAGAGTAAGTTATTCTATATGAAAAGAAGTTTCCTTTCCCAAATGATCTATTCTTAATTATCCTTAGGTCTATCTTAAGTCACCTCAAAGTGTCAACTAAATTTCGACAGACCTTAAATTATCAATTAAAAAGTTTTGAGTATTTATAAATTTATCATCAGGTAGTTGAGTTGCATCAATATTTACAATGTTAGGAAATTGCATTCTTGTCTGGACCTTGCCACCATAATCTTTTATCTTATGTTCCGCACATTTTTTTTCCGATGACGTTGTCAGGCCGATCTTGGAGCTATACTGCCGGCAAAATACTATATAATAAAGTACCGATCGGTTAAGACAATGAACTTGCCATTTATTGCCCTGGGTATTGTTATAATTTATTTTGTCTGTATGATATTTTTTATCGGGTATCACTTCCAGTGTGAATTAGGGTGGCGGTGTGAAAATCAACTCGTAAGTCGAGTCTCTGTGACTCTCACCCAAACAGTTTCAATTAATTTTTTACTGTAGTAGTTTTTTGTGTATTCTAAATTTCCTCGTTCTAAAAAAGGATGGAAGAGACGATGATAGACTTTAGCAGTGTAATGGACCTCAACTTCAAAAGGGGCCAAAACATCTGCAATGACAGTGCCAGGAGGGGAGAGGTGTTACCAACAAACTGCGTGAAGCGTGGAAGGCATGAGAATTGAGTACAGAACTCATAGTAGGGCTAGCTAAGGATTTGTATGGTGGTGGAATACAAATCTGGTACAGGATTATACCTTCAATCCGTTTTTCCAGCACAGGTATGTGAATTGGAGATATCGCGTATCCAGGTATCATGTTTTCAGAATATTATTCCAAGACAGGTATCATATCTTCAAAATTTCATAAATTTTGAAGGGGTCATAAATTTTTTCTGGCAGGCGGCACATCCCCCAGGCCCGTAGCCAGGTGGTGGCATGGGGTGGCAATACCACCCCTGGAGCAAGAGAATACCAACTGTTTGCCAGCCGTATAGTTTCTCTCCAATTTTCTTAAATGGCTTTTTCGTCGTTTTCATTGGATCGTCATGACAATTTGAGTCTAGATAACTCTGACGGAAGGAAAATTGTTAAGGGCTTTTATTATGAGACCCTGATGCCCCTGTACAAATATGCAGCGTAAACATTTTCTGTTCTGGAGAAGACATTCGAGGAGCTTGATGTTTTCACTCCAAGCAGTGTGCAAATCTTCTCTCGAATGCCTAAAGATGTGAAGTGGCCAGAAAGCGAGTTCATCTAGCCGATCTCGCTTTTTATTAATTTCTAAAAGTTGCAGTTACTGCTGGCTTCACATCAACACATAGAGACTTTGAAAAATGCTGCACAGACAAGGATAGATTCCTCTCAGCAAAGTTCTTTGCGGAAAGAGAGGGAGAACAATCTTGCATGTCTTGCGTTTTAGAAATGAAATCTTGATGGAATACATAACATTTAAAAATTTTCTAGCTGTTTAGAAATTAAGAGGAAAAAAGTTGCTTAATTTCTGAAGACATTTTACAACTTTGTTTCCACTTACTCTCCGTACCTCGCTCCCCTACACAAAACACGCCTGCATTTGCCATCCCGTCATTTTGACAGCCCCGTCATTTTTATCCAGCGTAAACCCCCTGGGACATGTCAAGACGCCGTGGAAGCAAAAATGAGAATGAGGTAGTTTCCACCGCAGTTACACAACAGGATTAAAGTTTAAAATAATGGGACGCAAAAAGAGCAAGCAAAGTAAAGAATCTCTAGAAATAACAAGAAAAACTATGCAAAATCCCCCGGATTCAAACAAGAAAAAGAAAAAGAAGGTTCTAAAAGTATGTATTAACAGTAAGAAATATATCATTATCACTGTAATCCAAGCAAGAAAATTTATTATCATCAGTATTTTGATGAACATAAAAGCAACATGAAAATGCTATGGAAAGGAATAAAGAGCATAATAAGCATAAAACCTGGAAATGCTGAAACAATTCCATGTTTAAAAGATGCAGAAGGCACCAAGGTTTATGTATGACCCAGTCAAAATGGCAAATGAATTCAATAACTACTTTATTAATGTTGCTAATGGTATTGTAGAAAAATCCCAAGAACTCCAAAAAGAACTCCAAAATCTCCTCCGGATTACTTGTTCAATCCCAATTTAGATTCCTTCTTTATCTCCCCTTGTACATCTAATGAAGTTTCTTCTCTTATATAATCATTAAAGCTTAGTAAATCAAGTGGACCAAACAGTTTTCCTGTCAAGCTTCTAAAGATTCTTGATACACTCATCTCTACTGATCTTACTCTCCTCTTTAATGATTCCTTTGTGTCAGTGATATTCCCCAACAACTTAAAAATTGCCAAGGCAGGCCTTCCTGGAAAAGGTGTGTGATGGCACTCGCACGCGCTGGTACACGCCTCCCCACTCTGAGGAATGCGTTTGATTGCACACCTATTTTTGTAATCAATTGTTCATTTTTTAACCAATGCGCTGCAAACTAAACAAGAAATTTTTTTGTGTTTTTTATTTTGATGTGTTTTACCAGTCTTGTCCACTATACTGGGTCAACTTAATCATTTTGAAGAGCTTTTGTGACGACACTTGAATGCAATCAAACACGGACCAAATGACAGTAGCATCAGGGCTAGTAGTAGTCAGGACAGAACAAATTTTTTATCATAGACCTGTGTTAGCATGCACATGTTTCTAAAATACCTTTTTCAATTGGTAAATTAAGTTGAATTTTCAAACAAAAGATTTGTGCCGTATTTCTTCTGAACTATACTCATAAATTTGGTGTCTTCAGCAAGAAATGCAAAGGGGTCACAAAGGAGCTCACCATATTCCTGAATTGGGGATTTTAAGACTATACTATTTAAGTCCACAACAATAAGCAATTTGTAACAAAAATTTGAAGCAAGTTGTGTGCGAAATATCAGATCACCAGGCATCCATCATTCTAAGGAGCTGCTGTTTTTTGAAAGCCTTTGCCAATGACCCCTTGCTGGAAAGCTCGCTTTCTGTACGCTATTCTTTTACGCCACTGTTTTCAGTACCAGTTGCTACCACCAGCTGTTTTAAAAATAAACGGAGTGACGCAATGCTAAACAATCCTCCCTAGAAGGGCTTGAGCAATATGGCATATTTGTCTGACAAGGATGTCCCGTTCTTCCACAAATTATTCAATGTTGTATCGTTTTCATATGAAAATGGAAACAGTTGGAAAACGGCAGGTTGTGACAAAGGCATGAAATTTTCAGAAGAAGTGAAAAAAGATGGGTTTTTGGGTCCAAAGATTTGGAATTCTCATGCAAACGAAAAAAAATCATCCAAAAAATGCAAGTCAATTGAAAGTTCTTATAGAAGATTGTTATTTCGAAAATCAATGTGCCTGTAACGCTTGCAGTCAATAACTTCCATAATGCAATCTCTTAAATTGCTTCATGTTAGTGTTTAATTGTGTTCACACTATTGTCAAACTAACAGTAAAAAGGTATTATCATTATTATATTATTATTACACTTGGAGACAGAAAGATAGCACTTTTAATTCAAAGGAGAGAAATTTACAATAGAATTGTTCTGTTTCAAGCGTTTGCACTGAAACGTTTTGTGCCGTTTTCATATCCTGCCATTTTCAAATTGCACCGTTTTCAAATCGTACTTTTTTCAAAACTGTTTTCAAAACTGTTTTCATATACCTTTTGATGAGACATGATTGAAAGTTGGGGTCAAAATTTGAACTTTTTTCGAGGGTTTCATGAAGACTGCCACCATGGTTGGTGGCAAGAGGGATTTCCAGTAACTGCATCTAAAATACTTTCAGCATCAAATTTAGTAAAGATCTCTGGCAATATCCTTTCCCTTCCTTTACCGTTTTGCCACCAGAGATTTTATCGCTAAAGTTGTGTGAAAACTGAAGAAATGACTTAAGAATGGGGTTTTTTGGAGGCTCCATATACTATGTAATTAAACATTTGTAGAAATAAGACAAAACAACACGAGCACTCCATCACACATCTAAAACAGTATAGGGGTGCGAAATGCCACACTTCTGCTAATTTATTCCCAAGAAGGCCTGCAAGGTGATACCAATCTTCAAGAAAGGGCTTGCCACACTAAAATCAAATAACAGACCAATCTCTCTCCTCTCTATCTTAAAAAAACTCCTTGAAAAAATAATGCACCAACATCTCTACAAGTTCCTTGAAATCTGTGAGGTACTTTTTTCCATGCAATTTGGCTTTTGCACTGGTCACTTCATTCACCATGCACTTATTAATCTGACTGAAACTATTAAGTCATCTCTTGACAAGAGCAGGTTTGGTTGTGGAATTTTCATCGATCTCCAAAAGGCATTTGATTCAGTCAATCATGACATACTCCTAAAGAAAATGGAACATTATGGTATCTGAGGGACTGCACTAAATTGATTTAATTAATATATCAGTAGCCGAAAGCAGTTTGTTTCGGTAATTGGTCATTCCTCTTTTCTATGTGACATATCCTGTGGTGTTCCCCAAGGATAAGTTCTTGGTCCACTTCTGTTTCTTATCTACATCAATGATTTACCAAATTCATCGAAATGCTTCTCTTTTTTCTCTTTGCTGATGACACTAATATATATTGTGAATCTGATGATCTAGCATTACTGACTAGAAAAGTTGATAAAGAACTAAGGAAAGTAAAATTGTGGCCTGACTCGAACAAACTTTGTACTGTTTTGATCCCCCCCAAAAGAAACTAACAGGGGACGTCAGGCTTAAAATTGGTAAGCATGATATCTAAATAATAAAATATGTGAAGTTCTGAGTAGCACTAATGGATAAGAATCTTTTGTGGAAGCACAACACAGCTGAGCTTTGTAAAAAGCTATCTAGAACTTCTGGCATTTTCTTTAAAGTACGGCATTACTGTCCACTCCCTATGCTTATCTGTTTCTATAACTCCCTGTTTTTTTCTTTCCTCAATTATGGCATCGCAGCATGGGGACTTACTTTCGAATCTTACCTAAATCCTCTATTCCGCCTGCAAAAAAGACTTCTTCGCTGTATCAAATTCAAACCATTTACAGCTCCATCCGCACCAATTTTTCAGTCATTAAAAATTCTTAAACTTGAGGATACTTTGCATTAAAATATTCTTACTTCTGTTTACAAGGCAATAAATAGGTTATCTCCTTCCTGCTTTCACGATTATTTCCAGACAAACTCAACTATCCATAAGATTGGAACTCGTCAGGCAACCAGAGGTGATCTCTTCAAATCGATTAAGAACACTACCCTTTATGGTCCTCAAACAATTGAATATTTTGGCTCCAAACTTCAGAACACCCTTCCACTTTTCATTCGTGTTGCTAGCTCCGTTGCAGTTTTTCGGTCCAAATTCAGAATTCATTTCCTTGACTCACACTGAAAACTCACTTCATGAACTCAACCTTGTTTCTCGATTAAAATTCTCTCTAAATTGTTGCTATTCATTTGGTCTTTTCAGAAATACCTGGCAAACATTTTGTCTTGATTCAGATAAAATATGTTGTAGTTTTATTATTTCTACAAAGGGGGGGGGAGGGAGGTGTTGGCGGTGGCTCACTCTCTCTTGATTAGTTAACCTACTTGAAGAGCTCCTCCTAAATCAATCAATCTTAAACACAATCATGTAAAGTTTTTTTCTGTTATCTTTAATTTTAATTTATTTTTGTGAAGTGCTGTATTTTTGTATGTATTTAGGTGTAATGTATGATGTAAAATTGTATTTAGGATTGATTGATGAATGATGAAAACTGAAACTGAAACTGAAACTGAAACTGAACTGAAGATGTTTTCAGAGGCTTGTCTAATGCTCACAAAAACGTAGGGCTGCACACATATTTTGCTGCGAAGAGAAAACATTTCTAGTGCCACTCTCGCTTAAACGTTGGAAAACCTTGGTTCCATATCTTCTGTTATACAACATGTTCGCAAAAAAATTTAAATGCTAATGGATTCTGATTTTTGGATTGGAACCAAGAAATATCTGAGGAACATCTGGAAGGAGAAAGAGAGGTCTGGGGGTAGTCCCCAGGAAGATTTTTAAGAACCTCACCTGTTACATTGCGTAACAATGGCCCTGGATTCGTTTTGTGTCTCAATATTTTGATTTGATGTGTTGACATCATGACCCATGCGAATGCTAAGACCATTGATGCTCATCCCAGTTCTCTGAATACTTCAGCCTGAATGTTTTCTCACTTTGCTAAGCAAGGGCTGGTTAAGAGAGCAGTTGCCCATTTGTAAAAAGAGAAGCACAGAAAGGTCTCAATCAAATAAAAGGCTTTACAGGAATCTAAATAACTAGATTTATGCTCAGGCATCACTAACAATATTCTGGTTCTGCCTATACTCTCTAGGTTATTGTCTGCAAAAAGCTAGATTTTCATGAGAGGCCAGTGAAGAGATTTGAGACTGTGATCTTGTTTATTTAAACTTGCTTGAAACTGGAGATATGTGCTTAAGTTTTCAAGCCTTGAATTTGAAACAATAAATTCCTTGCATGATACTACTTTTACTAAATTCTTTGCAGTTAACAAGAATCTATTATGAAAGGGATATAAGGCTCATGGTGACCAAATTGTGTTAACATTGGCTGACTAAAATCCCATATTTAAACCCCACACCACCGTTGCTACCTTGTTGAAAGTTTGCCTAAATTAAAGGGGATGGGGTCCAGAATAGTCATAATTCATGAATGACCACATGCTTAATTATAATCACATTTCACACAAACTGAATAGTGTGCACACAATACACACTTTGTTGCACTATTGCACACATGCACACATTTTATCTTGCACACACAAGATCTTATTGAGAACTGCCATGCTCTGCAGACTGGACTGTAATAAAATACACACTTAATGAAGTTATATATCAATTAGTCATTCTTCCAAAGAACCATATTTTTAAGTCTTTATTTGTATTTAATTTGCTCTATTGTCTCCGTCAATACCTTGTTTATTTTAGTTTTGATCACTATCCTCTGAATGTGTTATCACATGCTTTTTTATACGGATTCACTTTATAAGCAAGCATGGCATCAATGTAAAGCTCGTGCGGGATATATGCCAATATACAATAGGAATACAATGGGAAATCATTAGATCATGCCAGATATCTTCGACATAAGCTACGTGGTTTCCACATTGGTTTATAAGGAACCTACATGAAGAGGGCAGAAAAAGTAAAGAATCGTCATAATGTGTTGCATCACAATGCATAATTTGGTGTTATGTAAAAGCAACGTTGAAGCATTCACATCTATTGCATCATCACAAATAAATCCTTGATACTAGTGGCCTTGCAAGCTTGATTTATTGCTGCTATTTTGCTAGCAGCCTGTCTGAAAGATTTCAAAATTAACCTTCTCTATAAAGCTAATGAACAAATAAAAATAGGATGGTCATATCCATTCCATATGATATGTTACTCTACAGTTCGTGGCAGTGAATCTTGCCTTTCTTTAAGCTGTTTCTTGGTGTTGTATGACTGCTAATAAATATCAAAGCAAACTAACCAATTCATCTTTACCTTCTTTCTTCTTTACTGCATAAATGCAAATAGTTTCTAACTGCAACCATTCTGCAAGACAACTATTGTTCTGAAGCATCAAAGCTAGATTTATTAAACTTTTATGCATTTTGACATATAGCTGAAAAAAGTGCTGCCCTTTCATCATGTCAAAAAACCTAATATGGGCAGCATAGAAAAGCTTGTCTAGTGTAAATTTGCTGATTTCAATTATATATATTGAGGTGATTTTTTTATCTGTGAGGTGTGTTATCTGTGACGTCACAAAGTTTGCAAACGAAGAAGCAGTTGGCGTTTAGTACACTAAGCAGTATGGGGGTTGCTTGGAACGACAGTTAAAATAGCCAAAGGGGACAATTTAAGTCAGGGTCCATATTCAGTCTTTTTTAGCGCATCAAACTGTCCTTTTCTGTAAAGTTTCATACTGCCGTACAACTGAAATTCGACAATTGCATCTATTAAGGTCTGGGACAGTGCACCCCAGCCTAATCATAGAACAAGGGGGCAATTTTCAGATGGTGTTTATATCCTATCTTTCTGCGTATCAGATTGCCACCTATTGCAAAGTTTCCTGTTACTTTACCTACTTTCAGCAGAGATATAAAAATAACATCATTAGTGGAGTCATGTGGTAAAGTACCCTAGTTTAAAAAGAGCTCAAGGGAGATTTTCAGACGGGGTCTTTTTTAGCATATCAAACCGTTCATTTTTGCAAAGTGTCATGCTGTAGTACTTCAGTATGACTGAGATGCAATAACCCTGTCTATACAGGTCTGGAGCAAAGTACCCAAGTCTTAAAACCGAAAAAGGGGCCATTTTTAGTTAAGTTCTATCTTTTGTATCGTAAAAAAATGTCCTTTTTTGCAAAATTTTATACTGGTATTAAAATTTTGACAATTGTTTGATTAACAGCCCTGACTAAATGGTATGGTGTGTTTTTGTGAAGATTGAGCCAACTGCAAACCTTGTGACGTCACTGATTCTTATGCTTTGTCACTCGCACCCATTGTTATTGAAAGCCCCAAAACAAACTTTTCTGTTCAAATTTTTCGAGTTAATTTTTGTTTATATTGCAACAACCTGTAGAAGATTCAGTTTCTTTTAAAAAAACTATGTGGAAAATTTCCTTCATAGGCACTACTTTAAAACTGATATTGTTTATTGGTTAATCGTACACAATCTCTTAGTTAAAATGCTCAAAGAATTTCTCTTAACGATCTTTACAGATAAAGGGAGAGAAGATGAAGGAACAAATAGCCAGCATAGATAACCATTTTGCTACATTACAAACAGAGATGGTAACATCACCTAAAGATAGTGGCAGCAATGTGAAGCAGGATGCTACCACCACCACTTTTCTAGTATGTACTAAAAATTTTTATTTTGTTTTCTGTTCTACCATGAGCAAATTTTATTGTTAACAAAAGTTAATGATAAAACTAGACCAAATTTTAACAGGGTTTCTATAAGGACATGGCCTCATATTTTGTCAGCAGTGCCCTTAATTTTTGCAAAGAACTCGGCAACATTTGCTTTCCTTTTGATTCATAATTGTAGGATTTACTAATAAGGAAGGTTGTTAAAGATGCCTGTGACCTAAACCAGACATTATCAGTTATGAACTCTAAAAGATTAAGTTCTATTTCCTGCCCTTCAGACGATAAAAACTCATTTGTATAATCTGGTTACAGCAGAGGATAAGCCTCCTCTGTATTGCATGATTTGATTTAGATTCCGTGCTTTATATGTACCCAAAGGATTTGTTAATAGACCAGATAAGCAATTTACAAATATCCAGCAAGCAAAATTGATGAACAAATTTAGCTTTTTAAAAGCAGTTAAAGTACAAATTAAGAAATATTAATTAATTTTCTTTTATTCTTAAAAATGTCCCGTTTCTGTGTTCTATAAACTCCAAATGACAATATTTTTGACATCCCTTTATTTCCTGGCAAAAATTATCTGCTGCTTTATATAAAACCTCCTAAAGCCTCTATTGCCTTTCAAATTAGGCTATTCAAAAGGAATCTGTCTCATGAGCCAAGTACATGAGATCCTTCTTCCCTGGGTTTGCAAGGCCAGGTAATGAAAATGAACCAACAGTTCATGAAGCTTCTTGGAAAGTTTTCTTATGCGTTAAGATCCTTAGACGTTGTATTTTTTGCGATTCTGAATTGTATTGAACTGCAGGTGTTTGTCTCTCAACATTTTTGATTGCTGAAAGTATGCCCTCGTCATTGTGCAGTGGTAGCCTTCAATGCTCAGCGGTTGGTATGGTTCCAGGGTGCTCATGAAATGGGTTCAAAGAGGGTTCAAAGTGCTCTGAATTGTTTGTATAAAAAAAATTGAGAACAATCAAATGTCATTGCCTTGACATGGTTCTTTCTTGAAAAACATGATACAAAAGGCTGCCATGACTACGACAGGGTTCCTTTCTTTAGAGAAATACAATATGTTACAAAAGGGTACCATGGCTATGGCAGGGTTCCTCTCTTTCTTAATACCATATTTAGAAAACAGCAAAGGCTGAAGTATAAAGTCAATTTTGCTGATAAGACTGGTTGCAATTTCTCAAAACTAAATGGTGAATGGTTGTTATCTATATCAGGAAATTATGACAGGGTTCCAGAACTCTGCAGCTGGCTAAAGTTAAGTGGTTCCAAACAATACATGTCTTGGAAACATATATTCTTTTTGTCCTTTTTTTCATTAGACAATATTCTCTTCTTTCATTTTCAGGCTAAGAAAGTAATATCTGACCAAGATGTTGAAGATGCTTTGGATCAAATAATATCACTATGATGGTGCAGTTCATCAGTCCATACTTCTAATAGGACACCACCTTCAGGCAATGGATGTCATACAAGCATAAATTTACCAACCAATAACGCTTTGCTATCTTGAAAATTTCATGGAAGTAAAATTCAGCTTGTGGCATATGCCAAAAGTGGATGGAAGCTGGAGCATGGGCGAAAGTTATGAAAATTCCACATAAAGCAACTGGTTCTATTAAGAAGAGAACACCAACAGTTTTCATGAAGGACTAAAGAGTGTTGAGTTTCAATTCAGGTTATGCTTTCAGAACCATCTGTTAACAAAAACTTTATTTTTATGCAAGCATGAAAGATGTTCATAATTGTGAGTTTAGTTTTGACATTGATTATAAATTTTGAGTTTTCAGAATTCTTTTCCTATTTCAAACTTATTGTATACCCTTATTATATTACTGGGTTACATTAGGGGGTTGTAATTCTTCAAATTTTTAATGGCAAATTTTCAGATTATCTTGGGGAAAGAATTTTGAGGTCTAAACATTTCTTGGCAAGTTGTATTTTTGGATTATCCTACAACTCTTTTTTTGCATATCAAATGATAGCAGCAAAGATTAAACCTGATGATTCCCCAAATGAAGGAAACTTACTTTAATCAAAAGTATATGGCATTGCATTTGGCTTGGTTTTGCAAAAAAAATCACAAAATGCTCATAAAATGCTTGGAAATTAAAATAAATTTTCACTTTTATATTATAAGCATAAAAACAAATGACTCTTTTAATGTAGATTTATATTTAAATATATACATTAAGACCTTATTTTGTATTTTTGTATTTGTTTTTACCTAGCATTCGAAGGTAGTTTTAGGACACTGAAAAGCTTATGCTTATCCAGCAGTGTCCTGGTCCTTTGTCTGGTTCTTCCTCTCAATGTGACCACACCTCGTGATTCCTATGCCTGGAATTACAGAGAGCTGGCGACTCTCCTCACTCTGGGTAAAAGTTTGGTCATGCCAGGGACTTGAACCATGGACTCTTGGGTCTGTAGTCAGTGCCTCTAACAGCTGAGCCATCCTCGCACCTTAACTGACTTTTACTTCCGAACACTCAAAGAAGTCTATATGATGATTAATTTTAGTTATCAATGTACATGCTTTCTTAGGCAACTTGAAAATTCATATAGCTTTTGATTATTCCAGCTGCATTTTTGCTAATTTTTCAAAATTTCGCCTTTTCAATGATATATTTCAATGATTGAAACCTTTTGCTTTGCAATTAATTGCAATTCCTACATAAAATACCACTCGTTGCAAACCTTTTTTATTATAAACTGACTGAATCCTCTGAACCAATTCTCAATACATTTCCCTACCTAGTAACCAATATGATTCTGAAGTTGTGTCATGTGCTCTCATCTCAGGCAGGGCGGTGCCAGTGCCAAAATAGTGGGGTGGACATTGAAGGGGAGGAGCTGATAAAGGGGTCAGTGCAAGAAACCGGTGAAAAACCTTACAGCTTAAAAAGTTTTGGGTACAAGTTTTAAAGTTAATTATTGCCATTGTCAAAAACCATTATCAAGGAAGGAAGGATAAGACCAGACTTTAAAAAAATTAACTGTTTAGCACGATAAAGCTGTGTTTTATAGATCCTCTTCATTTTAGTTTCTCACCATTTACGGAACTGATGATCCAACACACATACTCTATGTCAGCTACGATCTGAAAAGAATCGTAACTGACCATCAACATTATAAAGGTTGCGATCTCTAAGAAGGAAACTTGCATCACCCTCCCCCTAATGTTTTTAATCCAGTTTTTGAAAAATTAGAAGAAAATCAATCATAAAAAAGTGGGGTGGACATATCCACCCCAGTCGACCCCGTGGCGCCGCTTCTGATCTCAGGCTATTTATTTAAAAACCATCTGCGTTCTTAAATTCTTAATGTTACTATAATAAGCAATCAGCTACAAAGCCAATGACAAGGTCTGGTGTGTAAATAATAGTTGTGCTAAGCTTTTGTGTGAGAAAATATGCATGTTCTGTTTCTGTTTAAGATGATTTAGAAGAACAGTGGTGTTTAAAGTGATGGTGCGAGCAGCTTGAAATGATAAACCTCTTCAGCTTTGTTAAAGAGCCTGGTGGGGTGAAAAATGAATCATTGTTTCCGTGGGTTTTACTCGTGATCGACGTTTGAAATTTCGCGCGTTAAAGTTTATGAGTTTCCGAGTCCACGTGATATTCAAAACGAGACCCGGTCAATGGTAGTTATGGTAACTGAATTTTGATGCAGAAAAATTTCACGCGTGGTTGTTACCAAGAGTTGAGATAGAAATTGCTTCAAAGATGGCATTGGATTACGGATTAAGGTATTACCAACTTGCTGGTGTAAAGGAATCCTTGTATCACCCCAAGCTACCGTCTTTTCGGCGGATGGACATGGATACAGCGGCGCATAAACTTCCAGACGAGCATTGTAGAACTACCACCCCTTGCACCAGAGGTGAGAACCAGCCCTTTATTTACAGCTACCCTGCCGTTTTTTATATTGTAAAGGATTTAAAATATTACTTAATAGTTTGTGGCGGACAAATTTTTCTCTCAAATTTTTGAAAATTTCAGTTTTCTCAATTGGAAACTCGGTTTAGAGAGATGAGTTCGAGATATTTTCCATACACAGTTTTGGGTTTGTTATGAGAGGACGGTGTTATTGTGTAGCTAGAGACTTTCTTTAAGTTGAAGTCAGCAACTCATTGCTTAACCCTCCACCCCTTGAAAACTAATTTCAGACCACAATGGGGCGTTTCCCTCTTTCCAGTCTGCATTGGGATCTAATTTGCCCCAGTTCTGGGTCGAGAACGATACTTGATAAAAACTTGCCATTTGTATTTTGACGAGTTTGATCTGCAGTTACGCCAAGTTAATGTGTCGATAAATATGAAAATTTGAGCATCAGTTCTATTGTCACGCCATATTTTCTGGATAAATTTTAGCTAGAATCTGTGGCAAGCAAAGTTCCAGAATGCATACTGGCCTCTTTCCGCCCAAAAGAAACTATAATCAAGAAATGTCAAAATTTTAGATAATGCCAACCCATAAAAGCATAGTGCACCTAATTTGTCTGGAAATATCCCAATTTGTATTTCTTACATTGAATTGTGGGAAATATTTTGTCACCACCCCAACCCCCCCCCCTACCCCTCCTCCTCCCCCTCAGAAGAAACTGAGAATTAACTCATAGTGTGCCCCCCCCCCTGAACATGAGTTTCAAGTTTTCATTACGTAAAGCCAATTTTTATTTTATCTATCGATATTCCATGTAACTTTCCTGTTAATATTTCCATTAAGGAAACATGTTTGATATGTTTAAGCAACATATCCCAATGAGGAATGTAGCACTTAAATTTCTCTATTATTTGAATTTTCCTTTTTAAACAAACATGGGTGTAACAGATGCAAAACTTTTATGAGGGCTTATTATTGATCTTGCCTGAAAATTGCTTCTACATCAATGCAGAATTGCCTGAATGGAGCCTTAATTACCATAATTTATACCTGATTGCAAGTGCAGCCCCTATGGACACCTTATGTAAACAATTTGTTTTGAATCCATTTGAATGATTTGAATAGCATTTTCTTCTCACAACTTCTGCCCCAGTGGACCCTAAAAATTTTTCAAGAAGACAAGCAAGAGCTTATACACTTTGCAAGCATTATATTAAGCTTTTTAGATAAGAAGTCAGGCTAGTGCTGCCATTGTTAAGAAAGTTTTTTTAGGCTGAAAGTGGTATAAAGTTTACTTCAGGTGCCAATGCCTAGATTTGCTGACAAAAAAGGGAGTGTCTGTTGGCAATTACACAATGGATTTCATAAGCCAGACTGCTTTCAGCCAAATAGTAATACACAGATAGTTTTTAAACAACAAAATATTACAGTAGGCTTAAAGAATAGCCATTAGAAAGCTTGAAATTATACACCCCTAGAAACAGCATATAGAGGACATACAGTATTTTTCCAATATGATTTTTAGCTGACACTCCTTGTGGCATCTAGGAAACCAGGGGCACTGTTATGAAGGTATCAGACCGCTTTCCTACATCTTTATTGTTTAAACTCAGATGAATGCACTATTATTCGTATTGTTTTATGGGCTCCGTTCTCTGGCATTTCAATTACAGAGTAAAAATGTTCAAGAGGGGTGCTCAGATCCCATTTGCCCAGAATATGAGCCATCCTTTTTTGCCAACAAGTCTGGAAATTTGGCGATTATGCACCGCTGGATGGCAAAAAAATTCCTTGTATTACAAAAATATTACCCCTCCCCCAAAATTTTCTCATCGAATTTTAAAGAAATTGATCCCGCCGAGTCTCACTGTGACGCCGCTATTGGATTTTTCGTCTAAAATATTCAATTTTGCCTATAGACTTAACCACTCATGCTTTTTTCTTTAATAGCTCGTGTTATTTCTAATTAGTTGATCGTTTCATTTGAGTAGATGCAGTTGGAATCAATTTTTTATTATTCCTTACAGGACGAATTATTTTATCTAATGCCTCTTAGTATTTTAAGACTCTTACGTTAGGTACCAGAGCCCAGGGACATCGAGGGGGGGGGGGTTGGAGGGACAGAAGGTCCGGGGCCCGTGCTCCGATGGGACCCGTAATAAAGTAACAAGATCTATTTACAATGCAGAAAAGCTACTATTTTAGCTACAAACACGGCATCAACGCCTGCAGGTTTATCGCAGAGAAATGTCCACATATCCTTGATTCATGCATACTGTTTCAATCCATAAAAATCTTAAATTTTTTTTATCAAGTGTGCCTAAAAAGGGCGTTTCCATTGTTCTCCGGGAGACTTAAGGGTGTGGCCATGGATAGTTTCTTTACGGGGTCCCGCTTTGTGGATCACCCCTGGGCCCGAGCTGTCTCTCGCCGGCCCTGCCAAATCCACATAAATTCGAGAGAATGGCTTTGAAAAAGCAAACTTTTATACGATGATAGAATACGATGAAAACCCTTATTCTCACGCACCCTTATTCTGACGTTTTATGTTCTGAGGAGTGTCAGACAAAAAAGCTTTTAGCCAATATGTTATAAAATGTCTGCTTTTTTCAAAGCCATTTTCAAGTTCTGTACCGCCAAGTTCTGTAAAGCTGTTCAAATTCGAGAGAGGAAATTTTATCCCCACCATCAGTTTTTCATTCATTAGTATTAGTTCCTGTATGTACGCTTTATAGTTTTGCCCTTTGCTTCCTATGTTATCGTCCTTGTATTTCTGTGTAGTAAATTGAGTACAGTATTACAAGTAAATTGAGTACAGTATTACATAACGTATATTGAAATGTTCTAAATGAAGAATAAAAAGGAAAAAATTAGTCATGCGCTAGGAAAAAGCCATTTTCAAATCCGAAAGCTGCCCGCCGAAGTT